TATATATATATATATATATATATATACATATATATATATATATATGCAAACACGGAAAAATCCTTCTTCATCTTTACGGTCGACAGGCTGCAGCAATGTCCTGAATTCCTCGTTTCCTGCCACAGATTTTTCTCCACCTCCAAATCGTGACGCCAAACATACGGCGTTACGATTAACCAGATGCAGCTCCATGCAAACACGCGGAACCATTTATATCTGATATATCTGACAAAAATAAAAGCATTTTAAACGCCACGATAATCACATTTTATGAATTTTAATGCCAATAATGCCTTAAAATAAAAATAAAAAGATAATTTAATGACTTTTAAAGACCAGCAAGAACCGTGTGATAAACTTCAATCTTATCGTAGACGATGGCCTCTGGAGAGCATTCATGGTCAAACTGAAGGTGCTTACCCGTACACACACAACTGATGCTCAGATACCAGATTAACTCACATGTGGCTCCAGCCTCCAAGGTTTTCCTTCTGCTGAAATGTTTGTCTCGTGTTATTTTCATGTGCTGAGGTGTTTTTTGATATCTCAAACTGTATCCTGTCAAGGATAAAGTGTGAAATATGATTTCTTTCCCCCTTTCCCTCCCTAATGTGGCTCCTATCTGTCTACAGACATAAAGGCGGTGCTATAGGAAACTCATGGCGAGGCCCCTGGCAGTTAATGGAACGCGCCAAACAGCAGCGTTCTGTGTGTATGAAGAACGTACGTACTGAAACTGAAATCTCCCGTACGATGTAAATTGTAGTTGACAATAAAGAAATGGGATTGATTGATTTGTGAGTTCTGGGGGCTCCACCAGAGCAGTCCGTGGTTGGAGCCCTGATTTTAGTTAAGCAGCATGGAGGTTCCTCCTCCTGAGCTTTCCTAGTCAGATGCACCAGTTGTTCTCCTCAGCTGTGTTGAAGCTCTGTGTTCTGATTGGAAGGAACCTAAAAAAGCATCCAAACTGGGGATTCAAACCCTACTGCAGCATAAATAATAAAACCACATCACTCTGAATTCAGGTTTCCAGCTGACCAGTAAGCTGAGAATGACCTGGATGAGGAGTTTATAAAGGCCTGGTTTATAAATCCTCTGCTGGTTCCAACTATAACAGTAAAGATCTACTTGCCCTGTTCAGCCGTCTGTCCATGAAGAGCAGCAGCGCGTGGACACAGTCCATGTTGATCCCTTCATGTTTATGGGATGCCTGGTCCACAGGGACGGCCAGTAGGACGTCCAGACAGGTGAGGGGCAGAGCTGACAGGATGTTCACCGTGTGCCTGAGGAAGAAAACAGCACGTTTTCAAATCATCGACCATCTCTAGGACGTCGCTCTAAAGATGAGTCCCAAGAGGAAAAGCTTGGATCCAAAGGAGCCGTCTGACCCTTGCAGCTCCTCCCGTGTGTCGGGTCCATCGCACGACAGCAGCAAACAGTAGCGTAGGACGGCTGCTAGGTGGCGATACAGAGCCGCCTCCTCCTGTAGAGACATCATCCAGATTTTACCTTCATGATCAAACCGTAAGGAATTCAATCTGGATCTAATTCCCAATCAACGTCTAGAGACGTCTCTAACGCCATGGAGTCGGTCTTCATGTCCACCCAGGTCTGCGTCACCTCATCGGCCCAAACTAAGGTTCTCACCTCATCCGGCTCCTGCCGGTAGAACCTGTGAGCGATGTTGAAGATGGTCTTGAGGATCTCGATGACATCCTGGGACACCTCCTGGGAAATGGGCGGGGCTTTGCCGTCAGTGACCAGCTGATGTCCTTCAGACCACCTCAACGCCAGGCATTGCTCCAAGGCTTGGGTCAGAACCAACACCCCGCGCTCCTGAACGGATCAAACCAACCATGAGTTCTGCTCCCACCCTGAGCAGCTCAGGAAACATTAAAGATATTCAAACCCCTGAATGTTTAGCGTGTTGCTGTTACAGCCACAGATATCCTGTTTTCATCCTTCACCATGTTTCTAAACAGATAAGTAGTTCAGCCTAACGGACAACGACATGTTAAAGAACTTTATATGATTTTTTTATTTATTTGAATAGGGACAATGCACATTAATGAACATCAGTATAAAAACAAATGTAAATATGCCGGATTATAGCTGCAAAGCTAGTTTTCATCCGTAGCCCCCAGGCAGGCAAATACATAAGAAAGAACATATAACATACAGTACAAGCATCACAATAATGATGATGATTGTGATTTGTGTTTTTTTCCTTGGATGTTAGTAAGGTTAAATATTAAAGTCAAGTGTGTCGGTTTTTCTTGCTGAATAATGGTGATTAGTGAGAAGCTGTTCCATTCTTTATGCTGAGATGTAGGGAAAGGAAGGAGGTTTGAAAAGGAGTTTCCTCCCTAGGTTAGATAAGGGGGAAACATAGATAAACAGGTCCTTATTGTCTAAAATGTTTATCTGAACATATATGTATGTCTTTTTTGTTGAAGTGTTTCTCTTGGAAAGACTGAATGTTCGTGTGTGAGGAGTCTTTATAATGCAAAGGTGGGGCAGGACCTAGTCAGAATCACACTGGGAACTGTCTTTAGCTGTCTGTGTCATTCTCCTCTGCAGAGAAAAATAAAACCTTTTCTTCATTACTCTCAGTGCTCATTTTTACTCCACATGATGATGCTGATGAAGATGCTGATGAAGATGGAGGGAGCTCAGGAGCGTTACCTGCTGCAGCTGCAGCCTGAGCTCAGGCCTCAGGGCTGTTAGTAGGAAGAGCAGCCTCAGCTTGTAGAACTGGCCTGTTGGGGGCGCCCTACTCCACATCCCCTGCTTCAGACTCTCCCATAATCCCTGCAGCAGCCTTCCCATGGAAACAGAGAGGAAGCACACACTGAGGCCAGGGGTTGCTAAGCAGTTCTGCTCATGCACCAACATTTGGATGGATGAATAGATGCCTTCCAGACGCTCCTGCAGGTTTAAGATATTTTTCTGCTTCATATCAGCTGCTTTCCATTCATAACTGATTAACAGGCTGTTGCTGAACTGCAACTATTAAAATCAGCTGAGCTGAAGCAGGAAAACCTCTGAAACCTGCAGGAGGGCCCTGGAGGACGGCCCTGGAGGACGGACGCTGGACATGCTTGCTCTGGAGGGAAGAGGAGGTCTGATCTGACAGCAGCTGCAGCCGTCAGACCTGCAGCAGCTCATAGAGTCTCAGCTGTGAACATGAAACTGTCCTCACCTATCAGCTGCCATAGGTCCCCCTATTAACCAGCAGCCCCCACATTAGATAAGGAGAGGAAGATGAGGGACAGGAGGAGTCTGACTCTTTCATAACCCGGAGTGATACTCAAAATGCTTTACTCTCTTTCAGCCTTCAGGCAGCTTTATCATTTGTAAAATTATCTTCTAGAACGTACAGAACCGAACCCCTAACATTGGTAACCTTGGTAACCTTGGTAATCTTGGTAACCTTCACCTCAACGACCTCCAGTTTGGTCCCATGGTTCCTGCTGTTCATCCATTTTCCTGCCGCTCTGCAGTGCAATAAAACCTGGAGATTGACTCTGCTTCTCCTTCCTCAGTGACCTTCCACCAACATTCAGCTCATCTCACCGCAGCCTGGATGTTTGTTCACATCAAAGCAACAGAAACAGCCGTAAGACGGACTGGGACTCTGACTAGGGGAGCCAATCAGAACAGAGCTGGTGGAAGCTAGGCCAGTGGACCGTCTGCAGACATGAAAAGTTTCTGTTTGTCTTGGAGAAGAGTGTTAGCAGAGAAGTGCGACTCCTCGCCAGGGAGATAAGATTTGATTTGATTACATTTTTAAGCTTTTCAGAATAAAAGAAATATTCGATGTAGATGAAAAACTGCTTCCTTGTATGTGTAGTAATAGTTGGCATCGTTTAAAACGGTCTTTGTTTTTTTGGGACTATATGAAAATGATGCTCTAACTTCTAGCCACCGATCAGTCGTTATCCTAACATGAGTGCGGAGTCGTGTTCTCATCAAGTATTTTTCTTGACTAAAACCCAGGAAAGTCTGGACTGTGGGAGAACGGGAGCACATTAGGGTGACCAGCTTTTCTGGGTTTCTGAAAAATAGGACAGTTGTATTCTGGTGCCGGGGGGGGAGGGGGGGGTTCGGGAGTGACCGAACCCGACGCTATGCTTCCCCCCGGACGGGCTGCTGGCTGCCGCAGACGGGCTAAGATTTGTCCTGGCCGCTGCAGACGGGCTAACGTTAGCCGTGGTAGTGCTCCACCAGACGTACGATGGCGGAGCAGTGACGGAGGATGTGGAATTACCCTCTGTACTTACATGCTGAACGATAAAGATATTTTTTAAATCGTTACCTGAGTGCGCTGGCTCTCTCTTGAGCCCGGGGGCTGTTGTAAATGATGTTACATAGGACTTTCATGGCCTCCTTCCTGCACACATCCCAATCATCCTCCTTCCTTTCTTCCTGGCTCTCCTCTTCCCGGGCGTCTTTCTTCCCAGGAGCGAGCACCAGGGGGCCCTCGTTTTCTCGCTGTTTAAGGCGGTGACCATAGCAGTCGTTTGTATCCAAACCACTAGCCTCTTTGTTGGGATCGGAAAAGGAAACGTCACACCTCTCATCAGCATCTGTTGATCCCTGACAGTCACTTCTCTGTGTTCTGTCCCGCTGAGCTTCGGTCATCCCGTCCTGCTGCTGGCAGGGCTGCAGTAGATCAATTCCTCCCAGATGTGCCAAAGTGAAAAGTGCACTATCCGTGACCATCGGCCCGAGGGCTCTGCGATCACGGGACAGGATCCGCAGAGTGTGAAGACAAGCCCGTAACACTCCAGGCTGCAGCTGACCACTGACGAAGCACAGCAGGGCTGCAGCCAGATCCTGCAGAACAACCGTCAGGGTCAAAGGTCAGTTTACAATCAATGGATGCTTAAACAGTCTTCAATGCTGTGGTGTAGATGGAGCTTCTGGAGCGGACAGATTCCACCCCTCTACTGGCCTACCTCTCTGAGAAGAAGGTCCGGCTTCTCATCGTCCGAGTCCATGTCTGAATCCGAGTCAGGAGCGCAGTCCCTTATCTTGTTCTTCCTGAACTGATGAATCAACAGAGATAATTAGAGCAACGAAAGATCAAATCATTTTACCGTTTCACATTCATGCTCTCTCTATCAACCGTCCTGTTTTGAGCCTTTCAGCCTTTCAGGTGATGGTCGACCCCATCCCAGCATCTGTGCTCCATGGGTCAGCAGAACAATGACAATTCCACCTTTACCTGAACTTTATCAAAGCTTCAGTTGAAGCTTCAGTTTCAGGAGAAGTCTTAGTATCTGGATTAATCATGATTAGTTTTATTTAATCATTCTGGATTCCTTCATGAGTAAAACTTTTCCATTATAATCCAACTGAAGGGCTCAGTAGATCCTCCTCTATCCGAGTAATAGAAGGTTTCCAGGTGAATTGTCTCCTTTTAGACATTTCTTCTTCTTTAAACAGATATAACTGACAGTCATCAGCATAGCATTGCCATAGCCAGGCTGAATCCCCCCCCCAACCACTAACCCTTCACTATCAATGAAATCCCACTCACAGCTGTGGTAGGCACCTGGATTGAAGGCGGGATTTAAACATTAATGGGACAGCCTCTTCCCTCCAATGGAAAAGGAAAGTATTTGTTCCTATGGCAACGCAGTGACACTGCATGCGCGTGGCTATAGCTCTGTGGTGCAGGTTAACATGATAAACATTTGTCATTTTCTTTTAAAAAAAAATCTATCAAGTTAAATGATAACTAGTCCAACGAGGAGCTTCCATTTGGCCCACTACCCACTACATGGTTTGGGACGGCCCTTAATGTGGCGGACCCTCAGAGGGAACAGAGAGTTAGTGCTTAGGGGCCAGTTTGGGATTCAGACCCTCTAACCATAAAACCAGGAACCAATAAGAACAGGGGAAAAGCAGTGGCTCTAGAACAGAGCCCTGAGTGACTCCGCCTGCCACAGGAGCTCAGGACAGTCTAAGATACTGGCACAAGAAGAAGAGAACAGGTGCTTCTCAACGTACCCTGAGCTAGCACCAACAACAGTTCTGACCAACAGCCAAAGGACCCTAAAGGACCCCCACTCTAACCCGGCACCAAGGCGTCCCACCTCGACAAGACACCCCCACAGCCCACCCTCTACCAACATCATCAACATCTGAGATAAACGTCTTTGCTAACACGTTCCTGTTCCTGCTTGATGGGTTTTGCTCCAGTGCTGATGAGGCCGTTTTCTGAAACATGGACGGTTCCTTGGATGGTGGTGAGATTAGATTTAATCTCAATCTGAAACAGGTTCTATCACCAGGAGCCTTTTCTGTTTAAATGTTTATGATTAGAGGTAACCAGACCTACTGAAGGAAACGATCACCACCTGAACTAAGATTTCTGCACTGAAGCTCAAGCATGTTAGCATAGAGAAGGTCAACCCATGGTGATATTTATGGGTCATCTAAACTGCTTTGGACACACAGTAAGACATGATTAATCGCTTCTGGAGGACACCCATGCTTACAGACACTGGGCGTGACTAATCACCTTTTCAGATTACTGTAAGACAGTGTGAATCCAGCGTCAGCATATCTCTGCCTGGGCGGTTTGTTTACCTCTTCCAGTCTTTGTTGCTGCAGTAAGGTTGTCCACCACCATCAGCCACATGCATGAAAACAGGGAAGAAAAGAAACGGCTGTTAGATTTAGAATGAGTGGAGCTGAGTAGACAGACCGAAACAGAAAGTTTGCATCATCCTGCTGTTTTACTTTCGCACTGGTTTTAGGAGCTTTTCATTTGGTCTGACTGTAGAGGGAATAAAATGCAGCTTTCTGCAGCCTGATGTTCTCTGGTTGGAAGTCGGACATTCATCTGCCCAAATGGGACCCAATGAAAGAAGAAGATTCTCTGAGATGTTTGGATCAAATGTTAAAAATAACAATAGGTTTTCAT